GATTCATGTTTCTTTTAATAAATAGCAATCTTTCCAGTGAGCTTGAATTTAAACTGGACCTTAATTATTTGTTTTATTCGAATTAATTTTTTCAAATTATTTGCTTTATTCAAAATTTCCTTGTTCGAATTAATTTTCTTATTCGAATTAATTTTCTTATTATTATTCGAATTAATATTAATATTAATTTCCCTATTCGAATTATTCGTTTTATATTTATTCGAATTACTTTTTTTTTTATTCGAATAGAAGCCCTATGCCGTTGAAATAGTGATAATAATAGTTGTATATAACAATAATACTCTCAACCGTAACACGTGACAATGCCAAATCTAACGAGGGCTCTGGAATAAGGTCCGTCCGTAATTATTTGATTATCCCCATTTTAATATTAATATGTTCTATTACTATTATTATTATTTTTTGTACTTTTTAATAAACCAATGTCCTTATTTTGAAGAATTCTATCCTTTTGATGCTTCATTTGTATGCTTGGTTTCAGACTTAATTTCAAATATATTGTGATTTAATAACATTTAACTTGGAAAAAAGAATCTCTAATACTAATAAAAATTTAAATCTTCATATTTAAAAAATTTGATTATAAATTATAATCTATTACGCCCACTTTCTTTATTTTTTCCAAGTCATCATCATTATCTGAAATGTCGTTTTCTAATGGGTCAATGCTAGTAGAAGTGGTATTAATTAAGAATCATTGTTAGGATTCTCTGAATAAAATTTTTTTTACTTGAAGAATTATTTCGAGTAGTGAGAGAATTATCGATAATGTTTTAATTCATTACTCATCATTGTTTTGAACATTGTTTGTGGTATTTTCCACAAAAGCTCTTTTATTATTTGGAAGGATTGGCATTGGAGTTAGCGACAGTGGAATTGCTATCTTTATAACAACGATTGTATTGTTAGTAGGTGTTAGTGCGGAATCATTTTTCAAGCAATTCTTGAAGATTTCTTATATTTTTTTTTTTTTGAAAATAGGTTTTTTGATACTACTACTATTAAATAAGGTACGTCCATCCAATTGTGACTTAAATTCTCTCTGACGAACTTTTTGAGACGTGAAAAAGAACATTTCTAGTGGCATACTTCAGAACTGACTTGGGCCTTCTCATATTGTTGCAAAAATTTTTTTTTCGTGATCTTTTGAAAAGGCATTATATTATCTGTTTTGAAGAATTGACCATTTTAAAGACTTTATGTTCACCTACATACAATTTACATCAAGTACAGCTTTGCTTCAAAATTGCAAAAATCAAATGGCATCTAATTACTATATACAAAATCATCAAACAATTTAACTCAAACTCTAGTCAGTCATACCTCTTTTATATCCCCGCCATATATATCCCCTCTTAGCCTCGTCCTCATTTTTATTCCACATCTGAACAGTTAAAAATGTCCTTATTCTATATAATATTCTATATACTCAGTTACATCCCATCCCACAAAATTTGAAAAACATATGAAAAAGAGGTATAACTGTACCAATTTATACTAATATAAAACCAGAATTTGAAGAAAACGAAGTTTCGCAAGATGAAGTGGGAGAAAATAGGATTGAAAGCGATTAATTTAGAGATTAATGAAATTGACATTAATACTTTGTATATAAAGGCTAAAAAATGATTGCTTTTGAGTGATAATTAAAACATTTACAAAATACTGTATCACTTTTTGAATAAGTTTTTTAAGTTAATAACTTGAAACTGATCGGGAAAGGGCTTTACGCCCATCACTAGAGCTAATAAAAACACGAAAGATTTTACAGCCAAATCAATTAAATGTTTTCTGGCCTTCAAGACATAAATACAATATCACAGCTGGCTCTAGTGAATCTTTTCCTGATATTTTAATAAAGTGAAATTATTATGCTTACAAACTATAATTTAATAATAAATGTAAATGTCTTTGACATACCAGGAACAAATTGTGAGATGCCTTGTATTGTAGATGCTTGGATCCAATATATAAACTTGGTCACTTTTTCAAAATTTAAGTAGCTTGAGAATTCACTTTGTGCTGGTATATATATATAAAAAATTAAATGATGTTGCAAGAAAAACCAAAATGAATGATACGCGTGTATTTTTCAAGCATCTCGTTTTGAAATTTGTACATGTATTTATCCAATAAACCATCATCAAAAGAATTCTGGTCGCCTATCTCCAGGTTTTCAACGATTGTTGGCAAAATCGTTATATTTTCATTGATAACAAACATCATCCAGAATTCTCTTTGGAGATCTTGTCATAAAAAATTCCTTTCCTTCTTCCCAAAAAAAGCGTGCGTTTGTATTTTTCAATTATTAATTTAGAAACAATATAATCTTTTGTTTCCTAATTATAAATGTAATGATGAAAACAGCAAGGAAATAAAATAAAATAAATATAAAAATGAATGAATGAGCCAAAAAAAGAACACAAGCTATTTGCATCATGAGATCTTTCTTCTAATTCTTTTAATCGCTTTTTTTAGTTTTTTTAATTTCTACTTTGACTTCATTCTCGTAAGCGGAAATATGATTAATACCAAAACAAACAAACAATCTTATCGATCGGAAAGAGTATAATTTACTTTATTCTCTTTATTGTAAGTGTCTGGCTAGAATATCCATAAAAAGAACCATTGATTTCCCTTTTCCGTATTCTTTTTCTTTATCTTTTGAAAAAAAAAATTTTTTGAATCATTAAAATTGTTTTTAGAAGAAAACAGATGGTGATAAAGAATAATAAAAAATTTATTAATGGTTGTCACCTACGTGCCACTATTTTAAACTCAGCAACCACTCTGACCTTTCCATTATTACATGCTCTGCATATACGCATACGGTCGACGCTCGATGTAAGAAAGAGTTGGTTTTGACAAAAACTTCACTATTACTATGTAGGTATGTGATTCATTACATAAAAAGATCGTCAAACATTTACAAAAATCCCGTGATACGTACGTAAGTCCCTGGAAATATGTTTGATGGAAAAACATATCGGAGAATATATCAAGATAAAAACCAACTCACATTCATTGATCTGATAAAATTAATTATAATAAAGACCTTTATGATCAATGAATTTTATAAAAAATCTTATGTAATGTCATGGAAAACGTGAATGATTTAATCAAAGAAAAAATATCGAAAACACGTCGTTAAAAGGTTATAAATGCAGAAATGCGTTTTGGTATTAACAAACACATGAAAAGAAATAAAAGTAACAATAATAATAAAAACAATAATAAGATAATAGTCATAATAATAATAACAATGTTAACAAAAATAAATGATAATAAAATCAACATTATCAAATAATATTAAATTTGAGGTGTCGTGGATGTCTTCGTGATGAAATTCACCATAATTTTCTTATTATTTTCAGCCTCACGGAAAGAAAAGGCGGCGGCGATCTGTCGGCCCAAACGGTCTAATTTGATTAGATACGGAGGGTATTTGTTTATTTAAAATTGTATATGTACATATGCGCTGATTTTGTTTGAACCCCAAAATCCAGCACGGTATGATCATAACGTTATGAATACTTTATACTAGCAAAAACCCATTGGTTTTGAGGTGGGGCCATTGGTTTGACGGGTTGTTGAATAGTAAAATAGTTTTTTTTAGCGGAGCAAATATTTTTTTTAGGGTTAATTATCATTCTACTGACCAGTTTACACATTAAAAATACTCGTGTTTAACATCAAGACATAATAAGACATAAGGTTTGAAAAAAGGCCCAAAAAACCAAATCGGCTGATATGAATTAGTAAAATTGTAAAATTTCAGGATGCGTTTTTTTCAAGTGTAAAAAGGCTGGCTTGAAATTTCTGTAATACGGAAAATCTTTCCAACAAAAGAATTTGATTACTTAAATTAGAAAGATCCTTCTTAAATTTCGGACTGACATTTATAGTTGACATTATTAGTATTAGTTTTGATGACCTTTTTTGGACAATAATAATTATTTTTTAATAAAAAACGGCCTAATCGATAAAACAAATCAATAAATCAAAAATATGAAAATATTTTTAACTGGAGGTTCAGGATATTTAGGTCGTAATTTTATAGAGTATGCACTTTCACAAAATGACCAAATTAAGATAAATGTTTTATCACGTTCCAGTGTATCTGATGAATATATTGTCAAGGCATCAGAAAAGGTTTCAAATGGTGACGGAAGAGTAA